ACCAACCAACCCTGACCTAAACTACTGGATGTTACGTACCAAACACAAAATCCTGAACTAAACTAGTATAAAGAAAAGAGCGCTTTTCTTTATAGTTATTTAAATAGTTGAGTATTATAATATATTCAAGAAAATCATTTATTATTTTACTTTTTAATGCTGTATTACATAAAAATTGTTTTTAAAACGTTTTTATTCATTTATTTTCGTATCGTCCAGCTCGGTAAAAATCATTTTTGTCTACAGCACGATGTTCTATAATTTCTCTTGACAGGAAAATTGGACAACGCATGTGGATGTGAAAGTGACCTGCTCCTGTGTCTGAAAGTATGTTCTTGTCATTGTTAGCTATGTTTAGTGATGTTACATACAACCCACTAATCCAACCTTTGTCTCAAGTTTTTAAGTTTTGACTCCCTACAACTAAAATAAATGTAGTTGATAAAGTAATGTAGTAACATATATATTGTATATATAATGAGATTCCAAGGTTGTTTACATCTTTGTAGAGGCATGTTTTCAGGCACAGCTAGATAACCAGTCAAACTTTACAACTGTAAACTGCATCATCTACAGAAGTGTATTACAAGATGTAACTTTGACAGAAATCGTCGTTATAATTTCAAACATTAAAATACAATTATAAAGTAAACGATTTTTAACCGTAAACTGTAAATCAGTAGAAGTTACTTGCTTTAAAGAAAGCTCAACTCATTCCATGACTGATGCAGTAGTGATGTGTTTAACAGCAACAAATAGCAGCAGGATACTTTATCTGATCAATCCAGGTTAGAGATTGGCGTAATGGTTTACAAAATTTGACATTGAAGTGAACACGCAACCTACCAAAAGTATTTTAAATATTTAAACATTTAACAGACCTGATTAATATAGGATAAGAACAACCTCAATCACCCCACTGAAAATAATTTATTTATGTCTCTTGTAAATACACGAGTATTAGTTTGTAATAAAATTTGGTAATTGAATATAACTTTCAGGCTAATCCAATCTCGAAATCATGGAGGCTTACCTTTCGTGGGACGGCTAACATTGGAATTCCCGTCCTCCCTGCTTATATGAACGGTACTGGCTTTCCAGAGAATGTTGACCCCAGATGTAAAATGGTAGGTGGTGAAATATCACAAAGGTAATTATATGTAACTGTGTTAACTCTACCGAAAAGTACCTAGTTCAAACCCACGGACAGATGGGTCTCTATAGCTGGGACAGCGAGACATCTAGGAGAGAAAAGTAAAAAATCTCACAACTGCTACCTCATAGTTTAACCTTGGATGGACAAAGGCTATGGAAGAAAATCCAGAAAGAAAAACAGTCTGAAATGTGAGTAAGTCTTCTATGTGGCGCATAGAAATACTTAATTGTGTTGGGGGAAATACCATCCAACATTTCAGTTAAGAAGGAAAAAAGAAGTCCAAAAGTACATTAAAAGCGTTTACAGGTTTAATTCTTCCTCGAGAAGAGGGTACAGTAGATGTCTAGATCTCTGGTATAGTTTTAATTGTATCGTTTTATATATTTTCTTTTCAGGTGAAGAAACCTTGGAACTGTGACAGCCACTTCAGGAACAATGAAGTGTTTGACAACTGGAATACTGTTAGTGAGGTCGCTTTCGTCGTCTACTCAAACTACACCAGATTATTCCTTTAGTTTGTATGATCTACAAATGTGACCAGTGTTTCTTTCAGACTTTTTCCTCCCCGGAGAGGGGTGGGGGTACTTGAAAATTTCGGGGGAGGGGGTAGAATTTTCTGGGAGGGGGCGGACACTGGAAAAAGTATATAATTATACTAGCTGCATCCCGTGCTCCGCCACGGTAAATCTTTTTTTAAATGTACCAACATAGGAAAAGAACAAAACTAAATACAACACAAACGAACGCAAAAAAAAACACAAACGAAAAAACAAACACAACACTCATAACATAAACACAATTTAAATGCAATCATATAGGCATATTGCTCACAGTCTAGCCCGTAGCGCCAAATCGCGCCCTTTCCGGTGATTTGCATCCCCTCAAACTTTCGATTTGCACCCCTGTCCCCCCGCCCTAAAACTTTCGATTTCCACCCACCCCCCCTCGCGCAATTTTTTCCAACCCACTTTGGCGCCCCCTAAGGTCGGCACCCGGGGACATATGCCCCCCCCCCCCCCTCGCTACGCCTCTCCTATAAAACCCCTAGCTTGTCCGCAAACCGAAAGATAGAATAATAATTAGTAAACAGTATAAATAATAGGCAGTATTTAAAATATCCGTGTTTTACCTACAATATTTCACTTTATCCATTCACGCATTTTTTTTCCAGTACTTTAAATTTTAAAAACTTACAATAGAGTTTCATAACTAAAACCATTGCGCACCTAATGAACGCAATGACGCGTCTACAATAATGCTGAATAGTTGATTCAAAATTATAAGTAATTATAAGTAATAAACAGTAGGCCCTACATTCAGTGAATAAAATAAATAAAAGATTGCCTCTTATCAATCCATGCTAATTATAATTTTCTAACAATAATTTACTCTTACACATCCGGATAATTTGCATTCACATTTTGCTAATTATATTATTGCAACACTAATTCCTTCTATGACGACCGTATATTTGCATTCACATTTTTTATTAGCGTGAGTTTAATGTATTTTTAAATTACCTCTTTTGTCAAAATTAGAAAAAAGAGTTATATTAATTTGATTTTTCTACCGTACTGTTATTATGTTATTGAAATGTATCCATTTTTTTCTGGGAATATAAACGAAAATGACATTTGTCATTGATACTTTTAATATGTTTTAGCCGTGTGTGTATATTTAATATTTTCTTCAAGTTATGCAAAAGAGTAAACACATTGGAAATTATAAAATAGCTCTATGTCGTTATATAAACAAACCCTACTCTAATACTTATAATAAGACAATGCGATGCACTGCAAAGCACTACATGGTGCGATGTTTACTTTTATGGTTCCAAAATCTATAGCGATGACGGAAGGAAGGAAGGAAGGAAGGACTGACACACTACTTGCCCGATTATATTATAGATTTCGTTGAATGGGACGGTAGACATGTTTTGGAGTGTGTGTGTGTGTGTGTGTGTGTGGTAGAGTTGCCTGAAAGAAACTCTAAATGCGACTTTTGTCATGAATGATATTAGGTGCATGGTTTAGGGATATGCTTACGACTATATTTTGTATAAATTAAAGTACCGAGAAAATAGACAGCACTATCAACCTAGCGCCCGTTGTATCCTTCCTCAACGGGCCATTTTTCTCGTTAATAAAAGATTATGAATGCGTAAAAAAGGAAATAAAGATGTGACGTAGGAGAGAATGTTTTGGTTGTTAGGAAGATAGTTGAAGTCAGTATTAGTCGTGTTGTCGTCGAGTGAGGATGTCTGGAGGTCGTCTCCCGTCTGTCGTCAATGTAGCTGTATATATTGTATATAATAAAAGATAGAACTATCGTATCGTCGTTATATATTCTCTATTGGATCATCGTCCTATATTGTTCAACGTTCAGCATCGACCCTGTATAGAAACTCACTTTACAACAGACATGTTATTAGAGAATTGTTGAGAAAAAAAATGTGTCAAATATCTTCCTATTTTTTGTATATTTTATTGTTTTGATTAACGATATCTTTCTGCACACATTTAATAAGAACAATTTTAAAAGTATTTATAATTGTAATAATTCAAAAGCGGACAAATTTAGGGGGCTATTGCTAATCGAGAGGCGGTAATAAAATGATCATCCGCAAAAGCCGGGTGTTGATATTTTTAGTACTTCGATTTTAACATGTGGTACAATTAGATAATTTATATACAAATGAAACTGGATCAATTTTGCCAAAAAGTAGACGAATTTATTGCGTATGTATTCGGAATAGTATCCTCGATTTTTGTGAACAGTAGCGTTTTTTCTTTTCATAAAGCGAATGAATATAGCGACAATAGTTTGGCTTTATAAACTGCTTGTTATGTCGTATTTCGATACAGGGCTTGTAAGTAGGTCAACAACATCTGGTTCTCGATCTTGCCAGCTAGTATTTTTCAAACCAAATGTGAATATCTTAATTGAAAGGTAAAAATATGTTAAAACTTTACTTCCGCTATTGTTATTTACAATAGTAAGCAATGATAATGATAAACAGCCTAAGTTAAAATGTGATATTTTTTAAAGAAGCCTATAGTTGGACATTATTTATTATTATGGATTCTCTAGAAACTAATAGCCGGCAAAGTTTTTTTTTTTTTTTTTTTTTTTAATAGTGGGAATGATGTTCAAAAATATTAATTTAGTTTGTAAAATGTATATCTCTCCCTGGCTAACAAGATTTTAAACGAGAGAGACCGAGACTTAAAATTGGAAATCTCGATTAAGCTCAGTATGTGTTATTTTAGCAAAAAAAAAAGCTCTTTATTAATTATCATTTAAAATCGCCAAACTGCCCTAAAAGTTTATTGCAATTTTAATGTAAGTAGCCTTGAACTCTAATGCAACTCAAACAATGAAATTGTAGGAAACTATACCGACAACTATACCGATGACTCAGTAAGTGTTATTTAACCTTTGACATTGTGATGGCACATGTTTCTATGTGCATGTATGGGTTCTGTTGTCATGGTGACAAGCGTGGCCACCACCTTGACAAATTTAACTTTGGTATTTGTAAACAGAAAAACTTGAGATGTTTAAAGGGTCGTAAGAATAACTAAGATATTTATAGGGTCGTAAAAATAACTAAGATGTTTATAGGGTCGTAAGAATAACTAAGATGTTTATATGGTCGTAAGAATAACTAAGATGTGTATAGGGTTGTAAAACGTAAACGGGATGTTCTAAGTGTTTTGAAACAGAATACTTATAGATGTTTAAACAGTTGCTAGAAAATTAGATCTAGTTAATTTCTCTAATAATTTGACCAAAAAAAGTTATTTTAAAAATGACCAAAATAATCTCAATACAAAGCATGAACTATCATTAGTTTATTTCCCGCCATTCATTCTCGGTAAGCAGATCCAACTCTAGAGTCGGGCTGTGCCTGAATCATACACAGTAGCCTAGGATCTCGTGAGTTGTGCACGTCTTGTAGCAGCACTCACACGTGATGCCTCGGTTCTGTCGCTTGCTCAGGTAGGTCAGGGCGCTCTTCTTCGCCAACAGGAATTCGTTCAGTTTCTCGTCTCCATCTGTTGAAGGGTAGCATAAAAAGTTAAATCTAGGAGGGAACTTTACAAGCTAAAATATAGGGTAGCATAAAAAGTTAAATCTAGGAGGGAACTTCACAAGATAAAATGTAGGGTAGCATAAAAAGTTAAATCTAGGAGGGAACTTTACAAGCCAAAATATAGGGTAGCATAAAAAGTTAAATCTAGGAGGGAACTTTACAAGCTAAAATATAGTGTAGCATAAAAAGTTAAATCTAGGAGGGAACTTCACAAGATAAAATGTAGGGTAGCATAAAAAGTTAAATCTAGGAGGGAACTTTACAAGCTAAAATGTAGGGTAGCATAAAAAGTTAAATCTAGGAGGGAACTTTACAAGCTAAAATGTAGGGTAGCATAAAAAGTTAAATCTAGGAGGGAACTTTACAAGCTAAAATGTAGGGTAGCATAAAAAGTTAAATCTAGGAGGGAACTTTACAAGCTAAAATGTAGGGTAGCATAAAAAGTTAAATCTAGGAGGGAACTTTACAAGCTAAAATGTAGGGTAGCATAAAAAGTTAAATCTAGGAGGGAACTTCACAAGATAAAATGTAGGGTAGCATAAAAAGTTAAATCTAGGAGGGAACTTTACAAGCTAAAATGTAGGGTAGCATAAAAAGTTAAATCTAGGAGGGAACTTTACAATCTAAAATATAGGGTAGCATAAAAAGTTAAATCTAGGAGGGAACTTTACAAGCTAAAATATAGGGTAGCATAAAAAGTTGAATCTAGGAGGGAGCTTTGTAAGCTAAAATATAGGGTAGCATAAAAAGTTAAATCTAGGAGGGAACTTTACAAGCTAAAATATAGGGTAGCATAAAAAGTTAAATCTAGGAGGGAACTTTACAAGCTAAAATATAGGGTAGCATAAAAAGTCAAATCTAGGAGGGAACTTTACGAGCTAAAATATAGGTAGCATAAAAAGTTAAATCTAGGAGGGAACTTTACAAGTTAAAATATAGGGTAGCATAAAAAGTTAAATCTAGGAGGGAATTCTACAAGCTATAATATGAGGAAACAAAACGTTAAAACTAAGAGGAAACTTTACAGGTTATAAAAGAAAAAATAAGAAGTCAAAGTTTGCATCTAGCAAGATAAATTAATAAAACTTATGTACTTGTGGTACCAGCAATAATAAAACCAGATAGTTTTAGTATCCGCAAAAATTAGACACATCTTCAAGTACAATAGACGTTTCGGCCAAAGGTCCTAGTCAGCGCAAAACAGTTGGTTAAAGATTTTAAAAGTTGGTTAAGACTTACAACATAAAAAAGTAACACAATGTTAGACTTAGCTATAAAGTGAAAACGCCACAATATCCATATAAAGAGAAATGTGTTTTAGAATGCTTGGAAAAGGCTGGGGAAGGTGTGTCGGGTGGAAGATAATTTACTATTTAAAATTTTGTTAAAGTGTAATATAGACGAGTTTCAGTTGGGTTCTAAAATTATGAGAATATCGTAGGTCGGTCAAGCAAAAGTCTTAAATATTGTCTCCTCTGATAAAATTCAGACGGGAAGACTCCCTTAATTTTTCTCGAATCTGAGATGTTTGTTGACCAGGTCTGACACACATTTTATTTGAAAGATTTGTTACAACCAGCCTTTCAATTTAAAGAACATCAACATTTTAAGGATCCGTGACCCTAAGATTTGCGACGATAATAGAATAAGCAACTGCAATATGTCGCTATTACACGTTCATCTGCTTGCAGTACTGCTATTGTCTCACATTAAAGACGGCAGATATAGCGTTACATAGCTACTTATTTACTTCGTCATTGGTGGTAGGGGGTACAAACCCAATTGATGCTAAGATTTCACCAGCTTGTTCCAGAAATGTCCAGCGTTCTTCCTAATAATGTCCACCCCCCCCCCCCCCCTCGAAAAAGGGTAGGGCTATAGTGTAAAAAATTTAATAGATTTTCTCATATCGTTTAGCAATGCCCTGTTGTTAAGCAGGTGATTTGGTATTTTAGAAAATCCTATCGTTGAAAGACTTTTCTTTCTTGAATTCCTTATAAAAATCCGAAACTCTTCCCCATAGATCGAGTTACCTGTTTAAACTGGCAAATTGATTACTAAACAAAAAAAGCTAGCCAACGTACCAGTGTCAGCATCTCTCTTGCCCACACGAAGACCGTGTATCGCACAAATTGTGTGGACAGTGTCCGAAAGCTTTGAGCCACACAGACCGTGAGGGTGGGGCCTGTCGTGGTAGGAGCACGAGTAATCTTGCGCCTCAACACCGCACGCGCCGAAGGCCAGTATGGAGATGAGTACACTCGCCAAGGCAAACGGTGAGGGGACTGACATGTCTGTGGAATTTTTTTTTATCTGAAATAGATTAAATTCAAGTATAATTGAGTATACGTATAACAATATAAACAAATCCACAGATACAAGACACCATTTTATCAATAGACAAAAAATCTTCTTTGAGCATTACACAGTCCTTCGGAAGACTTTTCGCAGAATATTCTCAGAAATCCCGCATGCGTAAATTGTTCCTTGTCGTAATTCCGCCTGCTTTTTGTTCTCTACAACATCAACTAATTTCCTCAAATAAGAGATTTGAAAATACTTCAAATGGATTAAGGCATTCATATTGTTAATGATAATATCACCATCATGTGATAGGCCTTGATACATAATTTATTTATTTCAGGTTTACACTTCCTACAGTGCTTTTCAGTAAAGAGAAATATAAAGGCTTGAAAACAAACTATGATTGTAAGGATATTTCAAAATACAGACAAAAATAACTTAGTGAAGCGAGAATATTACCAAACGAGAACCAAACGAGAATATGACCAAAACAAAATGTGACCAAACAAAAATGTGACCAAACAAAAATGTGACCAAACGAGAATATGACCAAACGAGAATATGACCAAACGAGAATATGACCAAAACAAAATGTGACCAAACAAAAATGTGACCAAATCAAAATGTGACCAAACGGCTGTGAACTTACAGATCCTGGAGCTACAGCTGAGTCTCCTGTCAATTGTTTTTATGGTGTTCTTAAATACGCGCGGGCTGCACTCAGGTGCTTCTTGGTGGAGTCGGGTTCTGACAGCGGCGGAAGTGACGTCGTATTTCTGGCTGAAGTAGGAAAACAAGACGTCACTGACCAGACGATGTACCAGGTCTGAAACCAATCGACGTTCAGTGCACACTTAGGTCTTCTTTTTCATGAAATATAAACATAACAGGTTGAGGCATAGGGACAGTGTGTCGGATTGAAGTGGGAGCTGATAGGGCAGCAGCCCAGGGCCCATTCATATTATTTTAAGGGCCACAAATAGTCTTTAACAAACAATACTAAACTAAATTGTACACTAATAGTAGTTTTTACTGGTTACATGGTCGTCAAATGTTTTAATCACAAGATTATTTTTTAAAATTCCCAAACAAAAGACCTAAATAAGAGGTATTCGTTGTGACACTTTTTATACAACGCAGCCTCTTGTTCTATCATTTAACGCGTCGTTGTATAATTTTTTACTTAAAAAAGCGGTTCCAAAACAATAAATGACCAGCTAGAATTATGGTTAAAGGCTAACAATAAATGACCAGCTAGAATTATGGTTAAAGGCTAACAATAAATGACCAGTTAGAGATACGGTTAAAGGCTAACAATAAATGACCAGCTAGAATTATGGTTAAATGCTAACAATAAATGACCAGTTAGAGATACGGTTAAAGGCTAACAATAAATGACCAGCTAGAATTATGGTTAAAGGCTAACAATAAATGACCAGCTAGAATTATGGTTAAATGCTAACAATAAATGACCAGTTAGAGATACGGTTAAAGGCTAACAATAAATGACCAGTTAGAGATACGGTTAAAGGCTAACAATAAATGACCAGCTAGAATTATGGTTAAATGCTAACAATAAATGACCAGTTAGAGATACGGTTAAAGGCTATCAATAAATGACCAGCTAGAATTATGGTTAAAGGCTATCAATAAATGACCAGCTAGAATTATGGTTAAAGGCTAACAATAAGTGACCATCTAGAATTATGGTTAAAGGCTAACAATAAATGACCAGCTAGAATTATGGGGGGTTAAAGGCTAACAATAAATGACCAGCTAGAATTATGGTTAAAAGCTAACAATAAATGGCCAGCTACAGATGATCAGTTGTGGATGCAGCCCAGTAAAGTTTTAAGGGCCCCAAATTGTCTCTGGTCAACCACGGAGAACTTTTGACTTTTTATCGATTTCTTCTGTACTAATTAACTGAATGTTTTATTGCCAAATTTATCGATTTCTTCTGTACTTTTTAAATGAATGTTTTATTGCCAAATTTATCGATTTTTTCTGTACTAATTAAATGAATGTTTTGTTGCCAAACTTATCGATTTCTTCTGTACTAATTAAATGAATGTTTTATTGCCAAACTTATCGATTTCTTCTGTACTAATTAAATGAATTTTTTATTGCCAAATGTATCGATTTCTTCTGTACTAATTAAATGAATGTTTTATTGCCAAACATATCGATTTCTTCTGTACTAATTAAATGAATGTTTTATTGCCAAATTTATCGATTTCTTCTGTACTAATTAAATGAATGTTTTGTTGCCAAACATATCGAATTAAATGAATGTTTTATTGCCAAGTTTACGAAAGCTTCTTTTTATTACAAGCTTTTATTTAACTCACTTCCTTGACAGTCTGTATGTCTAGACCGAAACGCCGGAGTGAAAATTCGGAAACTTCTACTTGATCGATACGATTCACACTTGGCACGTGGGTCAAGACATGAAGACAATGCAATCTGAAATTAAATTTGACTTAATTGGATGCCTAATTAATTTTTTATGAATTAATTAAAATTTGGACCGAATTAGTAGGCATGTCTATCCAACCACACCACACGCGTCATCACGTTCAATGGCTGCGCCATCACGTTCAGTAGGCGCGCAATGGTTTTTAGTCATGTAACTCTATTGTAAATAAAACATGTAAAGTACTGAAAACAAAATTCATAAAAAAACGTTTTAATAACAAGCTTTTATGTACTAATGCACTAAAAAGTAGAAAATAAATTATACCCTACTATTTAAATTACTATAAAGAAAGGCGTGGGTCTCTTCTCAAATATTAGTAAAGGTATCCAATAGGTACTAAAGTGACCCGCGCTTTTCTTTATAGTAATTTAAATAGTAGGGTATAATTTATTTTCTACTTTTTAGTGCATTAGTACATAAAAGCTTGTTATTAAAACGTTTTTATGAATTTTTTTTAAAACTAAAATATGATTTTCCCAATGACAGAAAAAAGCAGTACCAAGTGTTGCTGGATTCAAATACGTTAATTTTAAACCATAGCCTAGCATCAGTTTAAATCACTTGATGTTGTTTCAAGTTTCAGTTCAAGATATCTAATTAATTGAAAAATCTAACATTTTGATAGTCCATTTTTATACTTTAAAATTTTGCTATATTTCTAAATTGTTTAGCCTAACATAAAAGTCAAGTTGTTGTAAAAAATATTTATTCTGTCTACAGTATATTAAGTATGATCCCTGGACATATAAAAACAGACTTAAATATATTTGGCAAAATATAGTTGGCAAATAAATGATATCTCAAGATCTTTGTGACCAGTGAATTTCTCGACAGTTTTATTAGAATCCAAATAGAATATATTATACACACTGGAAGATATGAGTAAAGTTCCCTGACGATCTACGGGGTAAGTGAAGTAGAGTTCACTTGTTTCTATGTGTGACCTCGGCATATGAAGGTATAGTGCCCAGCCGCCTTTACTTTCCTTAACGTGAGTTAGGTACCCATCAGAGTTGGGTGGACTCAGGGATGGTCCACTGACTCGAACTCGAGACTTACGCGCTAGCAGTCTAGCTCTCTACCGCTAGAACACTAAGTCCCGGATTGCTAAGATTAAGACATTATTGACAAAATACAAACACACACACATACATACACACACTCATATATATATATATATATATATATATATATATATATATATATATATATATATATATATATTTATTTATTTATTTATTTATTTATATATTTATATATTTATATATTTATATATTTATATATATATATATATATATATATATATATATATATATATATATATATATATATATATATATATATATATATATATTTATATATTTATATATTTATATATTTATATATTTATATATTTATATATATATTTATATATATATATATATATATATATATATATATATATATATATATATATATATATATATATATATATATATATATATATATATATATATATATATATATATATATATGTACAATATTATGGCAGGGTTTGTAACTCACAAATCTTAGCAGTCAAAATTATTTTCAAGAGTAATGGGACATAGACCAACATCCCTGAAATAAAATATCTAATGACGTTTTAAAAATGATCATAATGGTCGTTCGTTAATAAATTCACACTCCCGGTACAACATAATAGAGGGCTTTACTTTGTTTTCTTTTGTTATTTTTTTTTCATTCAATTAATCAATTCATAATGGGGAACAACTCAGTGGGCTCATTTTAAAAAAAATTATATGAATTATTTTTAATTTGAGAGGTGCCAAGAGCTAAATGTGTGACGTAACTATAGTGTGAGGGGGGGGGGGGTCTGACTTATTGTGAAGGTGAGGGTTAATAAATTGACAAAAAAGCTCGCCGTCTTTTAAAGACGACACATAAACCGTAGTGTTAAAATGCTACTTCATACGCTTTGGCCACCTGCGAGAAAGTTATTTTAAATTAACTCCACATAGATGATTTCCTCTTCAATCGCGGGGTGTGGAGAGCATGAAGACATTGGAAAGCTCTTTCTAATATGCGTTTTGTTTGTTTAATTATTATAATACAAATTCTCAGTTTTGTCATTTTGTACGTCAGTAAAACTTATAATTAATAGTATTAATTAGTGTGCCAAAAGAAGAGGGAGGGTGCGGTGCGCAACCGTTGTCACCATTTAGAGGGTGACACTACGACAAAGAATCGTAACATTTACTTTAAAACAATGTTTAAAGAGTTAAAGCCACAATAATTTCTTCATCTTGGTTCTTAATCTTAATGTTGTAAGGGATTTCTTCCAACAAAATTAAGTATTATATGACCATTTTTAATGCGTCATATAGGCCGTTGACTCCAATTTCAGCCTACCTTTTCTTTTGAATTTTCTATCATAGCCTTTGTCCAACCAAAAACAAACTACAGGGCAGTAGTTTTATGGGGTTTTCCTCCTAAATGGGTTGCTGTACCCAGGTATCCGAACTCGGGACATTTGGGTTGGCAGGCATGAACTTTGTGGACGGCGTGACCTAGCTGCAGAGCTGTAGACTGCTGTCCTGAAAGTCTCGAGTTCAAGTCCGGGTTCAATTCGGTTGAACGTATATGTGTCCAGCCAGCTCACGCTACGGCAGTCAATGCGGCTTGGCATAGTGCTGACCACACTATCCCTTTATAAGCGAATCGAGGAAACAGGTGAACGCTCGCCCCATGGTCTGTCAAGTTCGAAAAAGAATTGTACTTTGTTTAACCATGCGCTTTACCGACACGACCTCGCCGACCACTTCATCCCTTCAACGAAGTTGTGATACAATGGCCATATTAGAACCTGCCCGTATTACTATAATTACATGTTGACACATCACTTCGTCCCTCCCGTGAATCGTTACACAAGACGTGTTGATTGCCTGCACTTGATTGGTAATTAGGTTAGGCGTGGGAACGAGGGCAATGCCCTGACTCAACGGGCAGGTGATAACAGACGATGAGAGATGTGAGTGCTTTGGTGCACTGGGGGGGGGGGGGGGGGGGCTCACTGTGTGAGACACGGGTCGCGTGGCCTTGGGTCACTGCAGGGTGGTGGCATTTGGCTAACTGCCTTGACAGGTTGGTGGCATATGGCTAGCTGTCTTGACAGGTTGGTGGAATACGGCTAGCTGTCTTGACATGTTGGGTTAGTGACATATGGTTTCTAGCTGTCTTGACATGTTGGGTTAGTGACATATGGTTTCTAGCTGTCTT